CAGTTTAATAGAACAAAGTGTTCTGGCATTGAGGGAGTACTTGAGTGGAGGCCCAATGTCCATCTGCTACCTTAATACTTACTGTATAAATATATGCACATAGATCTATTTCCCCATCGTCATATATAAATATATTTACATATGTACATGCCTGTATTTAGACCTCTATAAATGTCCTTTGCCTCCTGTGGGGGGAGGGCAGATGCTTAATCCTCCCTGAAGGCAATCACTGCCAGACTGCTGTCTCACCCCACCACAGGGGTGGGCCTGCTCCCTGCTGCTGGGGACAATGGATTACTTCTCCCTAAGGCTTGTGACCATTGCTTGGTTCCTGTAGTGGAGTTCACACCATACCGATTATGGTCTCTATCAGTTGAGGCAGGGAACAGATCAAACTGGCTCTGTGACATCCAAAATTAGGCTGCCATCCTAAATCTAGGATCCGCCCATCTTGTCACATGTATACCCCCAATCCCTCCTCTTCCTATCCTAGACCACCCCTTCTCACTGCTGTATAACCTATAGTGCAACCCCTTCCTGTGACTTATGTCTTTACCTGTAATTAGTGGGCTTGCATGCCCCCAAAAGGTATATAGGCCTGGGTTAGCAATAGAGAGCTCTCTCGCCCACTCACTCCCTCACTCTTCCCCCTCTCCTCTCCCGTCCTCTCTCCCTTGTTCCCTTTCCCCTTGTCCTCCTTCCCTTCCCCCTCTCTCCACGTGGACCACCAAGCGGGGCTGAGGTGAGCACTGCTACCATGTAATGTCTGACTGCATTATTGTACTATCTCTTCTATCGCTCATGCTCTCGATGACTTTAATATAATATTTATATATCTCAACCATACAATTGTACTTACTGAACCCGAGGTTAGTGGTGGGGGGCTGACTCCCCCCACCTCAAACTACAACCTCCTAGTTCTTTCTTCTATTTCCTTTTACTTTCCTCTTGCTCCATGATCATGTTCGCCTTCAGTAATTCCTGTTACATTGCCCTTGATCACACACTACCAGGCCACCTATACCCTCCTTGCACTGACGGCGCTTCTAAGCCTGAGACCTGGAGCAACCGCACGGTCCCTTTCCAGCTCTGACACTCACTAGAAATGGAATGTGGCCAAGGCCCTTCTCTTTTGTGAGCCTCAACTTCCTCCCCTCTCTCAAGCAGACCTAGGTGCTCCTGGTCACTATTGGGCTCCCTGCCCTGGGACCCAATGCCCAGGGCTCGGCTTGAGGCTCACCGGGCACGATGAAGTGGACCACAGCTCGGTGATTCCAGGAGAAGCCCAAAGGCCAGCACAGCTTGGGCTCAGGCGTCTGGGCATTCAGGATGTGTCTCCGGTGGTTGTGTGGGCCCCAGACCAGGCCTCGCAGGTTCCGGACCTCAAGTTCCTCCCTGCCAGCCGGATCGATGCCCTGCCAGCCTCGTGTAGACACATACTCAGAGAGCCGAACCAGGCGCTGGCCTTGTTCCAGCAGCTCAAGTTCCAGGAGGTAGCGGCCCCCCCGAAGGTGGTCCTGCCGCTTCTCCACGTTCACGATGCGCTGGAGCTGGTACCTCCTGTGGCGGAAGAGGGGTGGGATTGGAGTCATCTCCCTCCCCCACTTTTCCTTCACCATGGATGGCAGGGCTTCCTCACTGGCTAACCAGGGGGCCTTGGGTGAGATTTCAACCACTCCAGGATCCAATGTGACCATCTTTTACAATGTGCCCATTGGGCCTGATGATCTCTGATGTCTCTGACAGCTCTCAGAGCCTAAGTATTGGCAGTGAGTGGGAGGGCTCAGTGAAGCGGTACCTTGAGAAGTCGACCCTCGTTACTAAAATGTTCTGTTCAAATCAAAAGTTGATTGGTGGACACATCATCAGGCGTTCTGAAAATTCATTGCCATAGAGAGGATTCCAACTCATAGGCCAGCGCAGAATTAACCCGATGGGCTTCCCAGACTGTCAATCTCCATCGGAGTAGAAAGCCTGCTCTTTCTCTTGGGGAAGGCGGGAGGGTTGGGGCTGCTGGCTCTGCAGTTAGCGGCCCAGCATGTAACCCCCTACGCAGCCATCAGGGCTCCTTTCATGAGTCATTCAAAACCCAAAACCCAGCTCTCCACCCCCAGCTGATTCTGACTCACAGTGAGCCTGCGGGACAAGGTAGAACTGCCCTGTGGGTTTCTGAGATGGTAGCTCTTTATGGGAGTAGAAAGGCTCATCTTTCTCCTGTGGGGTGGTTTGGAACTGTTGGCTTTGCGGTTAACAGCCCACCCACTACCCCACCAAGGCTCCTCTTCATTAGTCATGAGGGAACTACAAATCCAAACCACCATGAAATACCACTTCACAATCGCCAGGGTAACCTTAATAAAAGAGACCACTAGATATGCTGTGAGGATCTGTCTGGAGAAACCGGAACCCTCGTGGGCTGGCAGTAATGGACAAGAGGGCCAGGCCACTTGGGGAACGGAACGAGTCTAGCAGTTCCTAAGAAGACTAGCCACAGAGTTCTTACATGGTCCAACAATTCCACTCCTCAGGATCTATCCCAGAGAAATGAAAACATACATTCACATAACCACCTGTACACAAATTATTCACCGTCACCCCCCCCCTGAAGAAAAGACCAATAAAACTGGTCTATTCACACAAGATGCGTGTCTTGTGCCGTAGAGTCACTTTCAGACTCCTGCCACCCTGCAGAGGAGCGGAACTGCCCCATCGCTGTCCAGGCTGCAACCCTTTGTCAGGTGCTTTCTCCCACAAGCAGCTCACATCCTGCCATCGAGGGGACGCTGACTCGCGGCCACCCCACAGGCCAAGGAAGAGCTGCCCCTGGGGAGCAGCGAGCCTCGTCTTTCTCCCAGGGGATGGTTGGTGGCTTCAAACTGCTGACGTCCTCATGAGCAGTCCATGGGTAGCCCCGCTGCCACCAGAGCAGCCCGTGGGTTCCAACTGCCTTGTCTTTGGGTTAGCAGCTGAGTGCTTGACTATCATGCCACCAGGGTCTTGAGCCTCCTCAGTGAAAGTATTCAGTATAAAAAAGTACTCAGACGTGCTACAACGTGGATGAACCCAGAAAATGCCGTGCCAAGTGGAAGACGTCACCCACAACAGACCCCGTGTCACAGGTCTCCACTGACATGAACTATTCAGAAAAGGCCAAGCCATGGAGACAGACAGGGGTGTCTAGGGGTACTGGAGAGGGAGGGAGGACACGGGGTGATGCTAATGGATATGAGGTTTCTTTTCAGGGAGACAAAAATGTTCCTGAATTAGAAAATGGTGATGGTTACTCGATTCTGTGAATCACTAAAAACCAGAGAATTGTATACTTTTAAGTGATGAATTTTACCTACTCAAAAAAACTGTTGCTTGGTTGAATAAGTAAAGAAAACAAAGACATAGTCACACCTCATGCCCTAAGCCTTCTAGCCCCCATCTAAAACTTTCATGTGTAGTTGTGTCTTGGCTTTGTCTGCTGTGTGTCTGCCTTGCTCCTTTCCCGGGGGAGAAACCTCAGAACCCTGCCCGATGATGGAACCAGGACCCCGGCCCAGGACCTCACTCCAGGTCAGCAGGTCCAAGGCACTTGGTCTTTTCAGGAGCCTGGGCTGGAGAGTCGAGGTCCAGCTATTTCTACGGTAAGCGGGGGTGGGGTGGGGGGCTGATGGCTGTGGTATGGCCCAGCCCCTGGCCCCAGGAGAACCCTTTACCTTACCCCCGGGTCCTCTGGTTGAGCTTCTTCAAGAAGACCCGTGTGACTTCGAGAGCCTCCTGCTCAGGAAGCAGCAGGTTGCCAGACGTGTTACAGTTCAGGTCAATCCAGTCGGTCCGCAGGGCTTGGAAGTCAAGGTTGCGGGCACTAAAGGTCTGGTCCCAGTTTACTACTGGGTCAAACACAGGCACGTATTCGAACACCTCGCTCATATCCAATTCCTCCTCCTCTTCTTCTTCCCCCTCTTCCTCTCCTTCCACTTGGGTTTCCTGGCCTGCGGCGGCCACTACCAACTCCTCCTCCCCGCCATGCCAATCCCTCCTGGGGACCTGAGGCTCCATCAGGTCTCCCCTCCTCTGCTCTGCAATGAAGGACTCCACTTGATTTAGCCACTGGGACTGTTCTAGGGTCTTCCTGGGGCCGTCCCCAGTGGGCCTGGCACTCTTAACTCGTAGCAGGCTCCCTGCCGGGCGCTCAGGGAGCCACGGATCACCAAGGTGAGAGTTCTGGCCAGGCCTGGGGCTGGGCTTTCTCGCTGCCGCCTTTGCTTGCTGGGCTGGGACGTCACTGGTCTTCACTGGGGAGGAAGCCGTGGAGTTCTGCCTGGCCAAGGGTACCAACAGGCTTTCCACGGGCTGAGCCAGGAGCCGCCGCAGGCTGCGGAGGTGATTGACATCCTGCCCAGGGGTTGAGGCAGGCAGCCTGCGGTTCCCCTTGTCACCACGAGCCGGAGTCTTCTCCAGGGCATCGCCATACTGTGCGTCTTCAAGGCCCTCTTCAGAACCTGCAAGGCCACACCAGGAATCACCACAAAGCCTCCCGTCAGGGGCTTCCTACCCTTCTCCCCACAGGAGAGGAGCCCGTGTGAGACACACCCCGTCGTTCCTGACGGTGCGGTGCGGGACCTTGGACAAATTCTCACTGCCAGCCAGTCGACTGAGACTCACTGCGACCCTCCAGGGCAAGGCAGAACTTCCCCTGTGGGTTCCCAAGACTGGAGAAAACCTGAGGGCTGGCGCTTTCAAATTGCTGACCTTGAGGTTGGCAGCCCTACGTAGAAGCAGTCCGCCACTAAGTAAGTAAGACCCCATGGGACTCAATCTCAATCGATCCCAGTTTCTTCCACTACACGAACAGGACAAGGATCCGTTTCCCCTAGGGTGATTGTGAGGGTTGAGTTATACACCGTTCATAAAGGGCTAGCAGATGCTGGTACAGGTAGGGGCCCAATAAATGACCCCACCTCTCCCTGCCCCTCAGTAAGGTGTGCTTGGAGAGGCTAGCAACCCAGGGCTCTCCTCCAGGGCTCCAAAGCACCCCCAGCCGACCAGTGTGCCGTTGGAAACAAAGACTTGGAAAAGGAGGCTGAGGATGGTCACACAACTCCCAGAACGTCACGTGTCACTCAACTGTGCCTGTAGAGACGATGAATTGCTGCTTATTCTCAACAGCAAACATAGCACGAGATTTAAGGGAAAAGGAACAGAGGGTCACGTGTTAGACATGCCTTGAGGTAGGAGGTACCACTCCTGACTCCCTGCATGTGGGGGTGGGGGTTTGGAGTGGAAGCTTCCCCAGGGAGAGCTGGCAGAGCCTGAGCTTCCCACAGAAGCAGGAGGTGCCCCCCCCCCCCCTGACTCCCCAGAGGTCCCAGTGGCCACTCTATACCTGGCTGCTCGGGCCCTTGGCTCTCAGGTTGGTCAATCTTGATGTACTCCTGAAAGCTGAACCTGCAGGAGGAAGGGAGGTGGAGACTAGAGTCAGTGGGGGGCAGGAGCCAGCTGTACAGATTGATGTCATAGACAGGGCGCACAGGCTACAGCATGCAGCCCAGCCCTATCGGGCTGGAGGGCCCAGCAGAGACCTGAGGCACACTGGAGCTAATGCCAAGGAAGGAGGCCGGGAGCGTGCGTGAGCTCAGCAGGGGATCCTGGGCTGCAGAGCATTTGTGTCGACCCAGGCAGCCCCCTGGTCCTGGCTGGGCCCCTTTCCCGTAAGCCTCGCCGGCATCACTCACCTGTCCTGGTAGTAGCTGCTTTCCTGGTAGAAGCATTTATTATGGGTCTCCATGTGGCTCAGGCGGGTGTAGTCATTGGGGTAAACAAAGGACAGATGGACCTGGGAGGAGGGAGAGCAACCAAAAGCATAAGAGGGCAGGGTCTTGGTAAGCAATCCCTAGCCGGAGTCTGATAGGGCTCCTAGATGCCTGCTGTGGGAGGGCAGGGTCCTGGCTCTGCATGACAAGCTACTAGGACCACCACGCCACAGCCTTTCCTGCCACCTCTCCTGTCTGGTTCACATCTCAGCGGTAGCCGGGACCATTCCCAGTCCCAATCCCTGCACCCCTCCTCCCCCCCTGGCTTGCTGTGGATGAACAGCTTCCCTTGGCCCCTTTAGACCCAGCTCGAGGTCCCTCTGGTGGCCAACTCTGCGTCTGGATTTCTACTGTTCACTCTGCCTCTTCGGTGTCTACCTAAAGGTTCTTCAAAGTGAAGCCCGCCTCCACAGTTGCTTTCCCCAGTGTCTTATCTATAAGGCTCATCAATACAGTTGATCAGCTAGTCCAGTGGTTCTTAACCTGCCTCATGCCGCGAACCTTTCATGCAGTTGCTCATGTTGTGGTGACCCTCAACCATAAAATTATTTTTGTTGCTACTTCATAACTGTAATTTTGCTACTGTTATGAATCGGGCAACCCCTGTGAAAGGGTCGGTTGACCCCCAAAGGGGTCGAGACCCACAGGTTGAGAACTGCTGCTCTAATTAGTTGCATGACCCCGGCTGGACCGGGCTGTGTGTCCCTGGCAGCAGAGAGCAGAAAACCTGGGGTCAGTCCCCTTGGCATCCCCCCCTGGCGTGGAGTTGGGAGAGGGAGGGGTAGGGTAGCCCTTAAGTAGGTGCTTGAGCTGGGGTGTTGCAAGGCAGTCCACTGGGATCAGAGGCAAGCAGGGGAGGGGTCCGAGTCCCCACCTCCCACTCAGGCACAGGCATCAAGCCCTTTCCCACTCCTGCCTCCCACCGCCCAGGCCCCAGACTTACAAAGCGGAGGCCCTGGTAGCGCTGCAGAGGGAGCCCATCCACCAGGTAGCTGGGCTTGTAGGGGCAGTCGGGCAGGACGTGGCGGAGATGGGACTTGGGGATCAGAGGCACTGAGGGCGGAAAGGGAAGACGATGAGGCTGAAGCGTCATGAAACGGAGATAGGGGTACCGTCGTGTGACAAGGCCTGCGGTCCTCGGCCCGAGCAGGACCCGTTTCTATTCACCAGTGGGGGCTGTGGCCAGAGCCCTGCCCGCCGTCCACTGGCTGCAGCTGCCCAACTGAGCTGCGGGAGCACTGGGAGCAGCTTTCTGGCACAGCACGGGGCACACAGCCCCCGGGGGCCCGCTCCTGGGCCTGGAAAGGGTTTCAGCGCCTTTGGTTGTTGCTATGGTTCCTAGATGCTGGGGACCAGACTCCAATTCCCAGTAGAACTGCCCCAGGGCTTTCTAGGCTCTCCCCTTCAGCAGAGCAGACCACAAGGTCGCAGCAGCTGTTAACCAGCCAGCTTAACCCTTGTGCTACCAGGGCTAACCTCACTAAAAGCCTCGAAAACAGCCAGGGGGCCACACAGCCCCGCAGCCTCCTGAAGTGCCAAGGACTTCCGCTGGTCACTGTGTCCCCCACACAGTTTTGGAAGTGCCAACACTTTCAAGAAGAATAAGGCCGGGAGGATAGTGAGGATGAGGATGAGGATGAGGAACATGTCCTGAAACGGACTGTGGTGACGACCGTACCCCTCTTCTCCATGCAGCAGAATGACCAGATGGCTGGGCGTGGGAATGACACGCCAATAAGACTGCTGGGGAAAACCAAACCAAAGCAAAAAAAAAAATACTGCTGCTGGGGAGGAAGAAGAAGAGGCACGCAGACCCGAGTAGCGCAGGGGGTTTGTTCTCTCACTGGATGGGAAGCTTCGGAAGCCACTGTGACATCTGTAGTCCAGGAGGGGCGCAGCGGGAGGGACTTCCAGGGTCTGGCTCTATTTTTTGTTCTGGTGCATGTGGAAGTTACATATTCTCTTTTCAACTTGAGTGAAGGGGTGGAGGCTAGCCTGTTAGGTCATAACCAATGAGGCCTGTGTGTGGGCGTGGCCTTCCCCTGACGATCCTGGGAGCTCACATCTTCTTACTGGAGGCAGGAGACATACTCTCTCTGTGAGACATTTCTGTTGACAGGCCACATGGAGCTACGCTGATGGAGACAAAGCCCTGGAGCTGGAGGAGCCACATGAAGACCCACGCCAGTGCTGAGATGCTTCCACCACCACTGGATCCACAAGACTTTCCACCCACTGGCCAGTCATCTTCCTGTGTCATTGCATGTGTTGCATGAGTCTGAAGAGAGCATCGGACATATTGGCCAATATAGGACTTAAGGACTTGATCTGGACTGAGCTGAGATGTTTTCTCACTACACAATTACTCTTTGATATAAAACTCTCTCTTACACACATATGAGTGTCTCTGGATTTGTTTCTCTAGTCTATCCTGACACAGTGCAGGTCATGCAAATGTTTCCTCTGTCGCCACCTGCACGATCATCCAATGGTCAGTTCATTTGGGGGTACTTTTCCATGTGCATTTTACCTGGCTTATCCCCTATTGTTGTAGAGTGGACCCTGACCTGTTAGGACCCTACAAGACAGAGCAGACATGCGCCACAGCGTTTCCCCGGCTGGATATCTTCATGGGAGCAGACGGCCACACCTTGCTCCCAAGGCATGGCCAGTGGGTTCACACTGCCCACCGTGTGGGTTAGCAGCTGAGCCACCAGGGACCCTCCTTTCACACTGATGCCTCTCCTGAGTCTGGTGATGCCCACCTCCCACATCCACCCGTGGACCTGGCACCGCACTGTCCCCAGACAGGGTAGTAGTGGCAAGGGGGCAGCCAGGGCCTTACCTTGAAAGAGGGAGTCGCGAGGGTCAGGCCTCAGCATGTCAGCAGGGGACTGCTCGTCCCTGGGTACAGAGTCTGGGGAGCCCGAGTGGCTGGCGGCTGTCTGTGGGATGTGGCCCACCTCATCCATCCTTAGGATTGTCTCATCTGGGTCCAGGGAGGAAGAAGAGGGAAGTGGTAAGACCCAGAGCCAGTCCCCCTCTTCTCTGAGGGGCAGGGGAAGACTGGGATAAGGTGCCTGTCGTCCAGTGAGGTCCATCTGGGATGCCCTCAGGACCTCTCCCCTCCAGCCCTGGCCCCCTGCTTTGTCCTTTCAGCGTCTTGTCGCCTGATGGCCCCTGAACCAGAGGGGTGGCCAGTTCACACCACCATTGCATGTAGACTAGAAGGACACGTCCTCTTCCGACTGCTTCCTGCTCGTCACAGATACTCCTGAGAGACAGAGCGAGGGATAAACCAAGCATGGCATAGCAACAGAAGACAGCCACGGAGCTGTCAGCTCTGCTACAACATGAGGGACCTGGGAGATATCACGCCGAGTCACCAGAGGACGAGTACCTATGGTGAGCTTTTCATAGCCTTAAAGGAAATGTCAACAACAGGCCATCCTGAGGAGGCCCGTTCATTACTGGCGACCTGCAGTGGGCGGGAAGGGGTGAGTCCATGTTCTGAGAGCAGGAAGTATCAGTGTCCTAAAGAGGAGTCCGCACCGATTCTGGCGGCATCCATGTCCTTGACATCGCTCAGTGGTACACCTGGGACTACTGAGCGGCCACCCTGAGCTATACATATATACACCACAATACAATTAATAAATATCTTGAATCAATGCGGCAGCTACTTAAAGAGCGCTCGCCACCTAATAAGCCAGATACTGTTCTGTAAGTATCTTACTAAATGCCAACCCATTGAATCTTCAAAACTAACAAAAGAGTTCTATACAGTTGTTCTTTCTATCTACAGCGGAAGAACCCAGGCATGGAGAAGCTCAGTAATTTGCCTCGTGTCGCAAACTATGTTTGTCGCTTGCTCCCTTGTAGATTCTGACTCAGAGTGACCCCACAGAACAGACTACAACTGCCCCCATGGGCTCTCAAGCCCACCCTCTTTACAGGCAGGTGCCCAGGTCTTCTCTTCTGCAGAGTGGCGGTTCAAACCACCAGCCTTTTGGCTTAAACATTAAGCCAGCAGGGCTTAAGGAGGGGGACTAATCTGAGTTTGAACCCAGGCAGTCGAGCTACAGAGTCCACACAAATCAGCCATGACTACCATGTGAAAAGGAACGCTGAGTTGCGAACAATAAGGTCAGCAGTTTGAATCCACTGGCCACCCAGCAGGACAAAGATGAGGCTGTCTGCTCCCATAAAGATCTAATGTCTCAGGAACTCCCAGGGGCAGTTCTACTCTGTCCTATAGTGTCGCTGAGTCAGAATTAACTTGATGGCAGTGAGCTTTGAGTTTGACCCCCAAGAAGGTTGCCTCCTGGCAGTCAAGGCAAATCTGTTTCCTCCCCCTCCTATTCTGCCCACCCACCCCTGGGGGAAAACTCCATTATCACCCCCCCCTTTTTTTAGGAGAACATTTATTTAGTCTCAAACGAACAAAGACCAGACAAAGGAGGGCTTGCTGATAGAGTTTTAACAGGACCAGGGACCACGGAGGTGAAGGACACCTGTCAGTCACCTCAGCCGCTGGTCTGAGGGCAGAGACTACTCACTCGTGAAGAGGGACAAGGCAGCTGAGTCGATGATGGTGAACTTGGCTCCAGGCTCATTCCGCCGCCACTGGAAGAGGAGAGAGGGTGGCTGTGAAGGGCTGGAGGCAGCTGGGTCTCCGGTAGGAAGAAATCAAGGGACGGGGGTGCACTCACTGCCACTTCCACGTGATCGGTGCCTTCGTCATTCTGCTTGTGCAGGACCTCGAAGTAGTACCTGCGGGCGGCTGACAGACTGGCAGGAGGACAAAGCAAGGTGTCTCCTGGGGTCTCTGGGGTCACCCCCTCTTCCACAGGGCCACCCATCAGCTCCCTCAGCCCTTCCTTGTGTGCTCAGAATCTCAGGAGCATGCCTGGACCCCCTGGGGTTGTTAGGACACCCACTCTGCCACTTCCTACAAAGTGACAGTCTTCTCATCGATGTGCGGGGACACGGGGAGGACTGACTTCACAGGATGATTGGGAGGGTCAAAGGAAACCATCACAGCTAACCCTCCAGAGGAGCTGCTATGTGCCAGCCGTTGTTCTAATGCTTTCTATATACTAACTCAGGCAAGGCGTGCTTAACAGCAGAACACCAAGGCCCAGACTGTTGGGTCATTTGCCCAAAGTCATCCAGGTCATGAGCTGTGGGGGTGGTATTTGTTCCAGGGAGTCCTGCTTGAGTCCATGCTGTTGACCATCATGTTGCCGGGCTGGCCACCAGGTGGCACTCTGAAGTTGGGCTGAGTCCTCTCTCCCGAGTGCGGACATTTTTCCAGCCACTGTGTGGGGAGGAAGGCCTGGGAGGATCTCTGGTTTACTAAGAGATCCTGCACTCACCAACAGCCTAGGCACTTCCAGGAGCCCAGCACCCACAGAGGTGGGCAATTCTGGGATGAAGTCAACAATTCTGGGATGGGAAGGGCGAGGACTGGGAGAGAGAGGGGGGACCTGATTTCCTGCTCCTAAGTGTCACAAAAGGCTTATTTGACCTTCCACAAAATCCCACCCCTCCCCTGACCTTCCACAAAATCCCACTCCTCCCCTTCCCCATCTATAGATGGAGGAAACCTGGGCCAGACTCCACCTGCCCAGAATGTACCGGTGGGGGCCCACAGAAGCACTGGAATAAGGAGGTTAGACAGGGGGGAGAAGGCAGCCGGATTCTCCGACTTGGATTTGACCTTGGTTTGAGCTATGTGCCCCCTACTTACCTCACTGGCTTCGAAATCTGACTCCTAAATTTTCCAAACTCTCCTGGGGCAGTCCACTCCTTTCCAGTCTAGAGGTGGGGATGGGGTGGTGGGGAGAGCGAGAGAAAAGGAGGAAGGAAAAGAGATGGGGGGGGAGAGGACAAGAGGGACAGAAAATAAAAGAATGAAAAGGGGTGACAAGGGGCTCATGCGAGGGGGAGCTGGCCCATCTCAGGAGGGCCCGGAGCCACCAGTGAACCCTCACTCAGCCACTGAGTGAACCCTCAGCACATGGGTGAGGGGCCCCAAAGAATCGGTGGTCTAGTCCCGGGATGGTCTAGTCTAGGGATGGATCTTTCTGGCATCTCCCCCGCAGTCTTTTACTCAGATGCTATACCTCTTCTGTACCTCGGTTTGTCCTTCTGCAAAAATGGACTGGGCAGGAGGAGGAGGGTGCTGCTTTGGGGCCCCTTCTATCCCAGGAGCCACACCAGAGCAGCTAGTGGCAATGAGAGCCTGCTGGCGGGACGCCCTGGCTCCCAGAAGCCCTTGCGGCGGAGCTGACCCTACCTTGCCGACACTGGCCAGCAGCTGAAGGCCCGCGACCTGGTCGTCGTGGCTCAGCCAGAATTCGGCATTGTCATCGGCGGCAATGGCAAACTGGACCTTCCCTGGGAGAGAGAGAGACAGGTGTCGGTGTGGAGGGTGGGTGACTTCTTAAAATGTCACCGTGGTTAAATTCTCTGAAGGGGGCTCAGTGCCTTGGCCTCCTGCCTGCCCGGGAGGCACAGCGAAGATGGGGCAGACTCAGACCGGGAGAGGGTCAGTTATTCCAGAAAAGATGTCACCAAGAGTCCACTGCCCTTCTTAACCCGGTGACCGACTAGGAGCAATGTGGAACCTACTCTTGGCTTGTTTCTCAAGGGCAGGCAGGGCTCTGGGGACCCGGCTGTTCTGGGGCAGGACGAGGTGGACGGGGCTTTAGGGCTGGCCTTACCATCGGTGAAGGGGTGCAGGTAGCCAAAGATGCGGAGGCCGTAGTTGGTCCATTTGGGGGACACAGCCAGCTTCCTCAGTGTTGTGCGGATCTGGGCCAGGGAAGGGGAAGGAAACTGTGATCGGGAAGAGGAGACTGGCCCACAGAAGGCTGGTAGGAGGACCAGGGATGGGGAAAGACAGGCGGGCTGGGTTGGAGAGTGGTCTCTGTCCAGGTGGCCTTGCCCAGCGTGCACCACGCACGGTGTTAGGTGGTAGCCCTGGGTGAACAGCACTGGGCACCACAGCGAGGGTCTCAGAGTGAGCTTGGCCGGGAAGCGGCAGGACTCCCTGTAGGGGAGGGGGGGCCAGGGAGGTGTTGTAGGCAGAAGAAGAGGGGAACCAAAGGTGAGGAGAAGATGAGTCAGTAAAGAAGGCAAGGATGAAGACTACAGGGGCCAATCCGAGAGACAGGAGGGGGTGGTGGGCAGTCACAGGGGTGATTGGGGGTTAGGGGGAGGCAGGCGGGGCAGGTACTCACATGAGGATACAGTGGGAAGTGGAGGTTCCTCCGGAGCTGCTGGATGGAGCTGCCACACCAATCTTCAAACACATGCAAGTTAGCATGACCCTGGAACTGTACAGGGCAGGGCAGGGCAGGGGCGGGGCAGGTGAAGCAGGGTATGCCCCCCCAAATGCCCATGAGGCTCCTCGATTGAGGAGCCGAGAGAACAGACAGATGCCCATGCTCAGGTCACGGCCCTCCTCGGGTCTCACTCCCCCCTAGGTCTCATCCCCACCCTTGGGAAACCCAGCTTCTTGGAGGTGGTTGGGTGGGAAGGCAATGATGCCCCACCTATGGGTTCCTCCCCCAGGGCTGGGCCTGTTTTTCTGAAGAGCCCCCACCCCACCCCCGCCACACACACACCCTCCCCATTCCGCTTCTGTCTGTCCATGCAGCAAAATGGCAGTCTGTTGTGCTTTCCAGCAGAGAGAGGTAACATCCACTACAGACCTGCCAAGTTGACGGCAGGGGACAGGACTGGGCGGAGCTGGGCTGGGGCTCCCCCCCAACTGCCCAAGGGCCCAATAAAGGAGAGCGCACAGCTGCCTGCCGATGAAACCCTATCTGCTCCCCGGGCTGAGAGGCAGCTGGGAGAGCACTGCAGGAGGTTTCTGGGGACCCCATCTGGCTGCCCCTGCAGAGCACGCTTCCCGCCCCACCCCCTCTCTGCCCTTTCCAGGGCTCGGAGCTCGCAGCCCCACTGGGTCAGGCCGGCCCCAGGACACCCACCCACACAGGTGCTGGGCTACCCAGGGAGCACCCTTGCCCCTGGCCAGGCTGTGGTGCTGTGAGGGACCAGAGGGAGCCTTGAGACCCGGAGAGAAGGGGCCCCTTCAGAAGAAAGGGAGGCAGGAGCCTGTGAGCCTGTGCATGTGTGCTCTGAGCGGTGAAAGGCAGGGCCTGGAGAGCGGAGGGGAAGCGGTGGTGATAGAGGCCCAGGTTCCTCTGAGAAAGAGGTTCAGGTTACCCTGACAGCCCCAGTCTCCCTCCCTGCCCCCTTCAGTTGGGGGAGGTGGGGCTCAATGTATTCTGTGCCAGCAGGCCCTGCCCTGCTCTCTCCCCAAGCACATCAGATAGGAAGCCAGGGCTGCCCAGAGGAGCACGGGACAGGGGTGGAAGGGACACCCAGACAGAAGGCAGTGGCCCAAGGTCTTCAGCAAAAGGTCTGGAGGATGGGAGGGGGGTCAGATGGTGGGAAGGGAGAGCTCAGGATGAATGGCAAGGATCTGAGGGGTGTGTGTCCCAGGCTCCAGGAAACACGACTGTACAGCTGGAACCAGAAAAGACACAGGAGGGTCTGTCAGTCCTGACACACTTCAATGACTTGGCACCTTGGGAGCACACTGGCCGGTCCACGCTCACTCGCTGCTCGGAATGCAGGCCCTTGGGAAGCAGCCATGCTGCTCTGGGACCATGAGTTGGGGGCCAGGGTCGGGGGGGAGGGAATGCGGGCTGGGGCGGTGGGGGCGGCTGGGTGAAGGTTTCGTGGAGAGAAAGAATGGGGACATTGTATTCCTACTGGGGAAATTCCTTCAATTTGGTTTACAAGACGGGGCCTTCTCCTGGAATAGCCTCCTCGGTGCCCCCTCCCTGGAAGACTTTCAGGGCAGTGTGCCCAGCTCCCGCCCGCTAGCCATGGTCCAGAGGGAAGCAAGCATACTACCAGAGCAGTTTGTAAGCTTGGCCAGGAGGCCAGAAGTTACTGGGGTTGGGGGTTGAGGGGGAGGTACACACACACAACGGGCAAGGGAAGAGCTGGGCTAACTTCCTCGCCCCTTCCTGCCATTGCTTTCTTTGCTTAGCAATGGTCGCCTGAGGCCCTGTGGGGAACAGGGTGCATGAGACAGAGAGTGCAAAAAGAGAGCACCCCTCTCCCGTGGCATCTGGACCCTTACCCAGCATGAAGCTAGTCCTTGAACCGTGCTTCCCACAGCCCCAAGGAGTGCCAACTTCCTCCCCTTGGCCTGACCAGTGACACCACCGGTGACACCACCAGGGCTGGCATTGTTCCAATTTGAGGGCACTCCATATCTGTACCTGTCAGGGGCACAGGTCTCTGGCCCATTCGCCCGGACAACTCTCACCGTTGTCTAGTCGGGACTAAGCCCAGGCAAGGACACAGCGCACATCTGTGGCACTGCTGGATTTGAACTCCCAGTTAAGAACGGAGGAGAAAAGACCTACTGGGACCCTGTCACGTTTGACATTTGGATATGGAGGCAGGAGAGGTCAACCGATTACCCAAGGACATGTAAGAATGGACCTGTGGGGCGGTGGAGGTGGACAGGAGCACAGGGAAAGGGCAGAACTATCCGCGCTGTGCCTGGGCCAGGCCTGCAGCGGAGCATCCTCACAGGCTCTCAGGCCCTCTCTCCACGGGGTCCTCATACTCCCTCCCGAGCTGACGCTGATAAGACACAGACCTGCTCGCAACTGCCCAAGGCTCCCACAGCCTTCAACGCCAAACCTGCCCCCGGCACACGGAGGTCTGGCTTCCCAGCCTCCCCTCGCACCACACCTGTCCTCCACCCACACCAGGTTTGCCACCAGCAAACAATGCCGTTCTCTTTCCTCAGTTTCTCCACGCCTCGACACCTACCGGCGGGATTCGAAAAGCTCGTGAAGAAATGGGATGACAGGTTCGTGGAATTATCCCCCACACTTTTTGAAGCCCCCTGTACTACTTCCTGAATGGAAGGCCCTTTCTGTTCTCCCTCCGCACATGGCAAAAGCCTGCTCATCCTTCCAGGCTCCTCCCGGATGGTTTCTCCCCCTGGGAGTGCTCCCCCAGCCCCGACATGGTTCGCTCCCTTTCTGGGCAGGACTGGACATAGTAAGGATCAAATGAACAATGCTTAGAGAAAGGAGGGCTGGGACATGTTAAGCAGCGAGTGTCTGGTGCGTGCCAGCCCTATGGTTACAGATGAAAGAGATGTGGTCCTCAAAGGACAAGGACTAAGCAAGCCAGTGTGTTGCCTGCACCAGGAGCCACCCCAGAGGTGTGAGTTACAGGAGGGGGTGAAGGAGTGACTGGCTCTATCTCTAGGAGAGGTTGGGAGGGATCGCAGCATGCAAGCCCACAGTGGTCCTGCCCTATACAGAGCAGGCTGCTCAGCTGATCAGACTACCACCCATGGCTGATGGTTCAACTCGGGGGCCAGTGAGACCTCACCTTGGCAGAGAAGCATGCAAATCGGGACCACGTGAGCTCAAACTTAGCAGGTGGATCAGGGCACAGGTTCCTACAGACCAGCTTCCTACCCCAAGCATCCAAGTACTTCATCTACTTTTTTTTAAAAACAGTCTTATGGGTACTTAATCCACACATCACACAATTCAGGAGTTTGATCCTATTGAGAAGAACTGTACAATCACTACCACAATCAATTTCAGAACATCCCCGCACCCCACGATTAAATCGCCTTTAAAATGAGTTGTGTCACGATGAGAAATACAACTTTCCTCTAGTTCCTAAATGTTTCCTCCCGCTCCCACTACCATGACTCGAATTCTACCTTGCAAATCTGGCTAGACCAGAGGATGTACGCCGGTACAGATAGGAACTGAAAATACAGGGAATCCAGGGCGGATGAGCCCTACAGGACCAGTGGTGTGAGTGGTGAAACAGGGAGGATAAAGGGAGAATGGGTAGGAAAGAGGGAACCGATTACAAGGAACTATATGTGACCTCCTCCCTGGGGGACAGACAACCGAAAAGTGGGTGAAGGGAGACGTCGGACAGGGCAAGATATGACAAAACACCAATTTATAAACTATCAAGGGCTCATGAGGGAGGGGAAAAATGAGGACCTAATGTCGGGGGTTTAAGTGGAGAGAAAATGTTTTGAGAATGATGTACAAATGCGCTTTACACAATTGATGTGTGTATGGATTGCGATAACAGTTGTATGAGCCCCTAATATAATGTTAAAAAAAAAAAGAGTTGTGTCACCATTTCCCCTCCCACCTTCCTTGCTGACTAACCCAGATCCCCTCCTCCCCCTCCCCACAGTACTTCATCTGCTCTCAAGGAGCCCTGGAGCATAGTGGGCTACATCTTGGGTTGTTAACAGCAAAGCCAGTGGTTCAAACCCACCAGCAAGGGGGGGGGGGCGCGGGGGAGGCTGCTTGCTCCCATCCAGATTTACCGCCTTGGAAACCACAGGGAGCAGTTCTGCTCTGACCTCCAGAGTCGCTATGACGCAGGGTTGACTCGATGGTAGGAGTAGCTTCGGGTTCTGGGTTTTTGTTTCGAATCTACTCGGCGCCCTGAGGACACCTGTTATTCAGGGAATCCCCCCAGGAGAGTCAAAAGCTTGAGAATGGACACATCGATCCCCATCCTGATGCTCTGCCAGCACCTGCACTGAGGTGCTACACACAGCCCACTGAGGCACCATGCTGAAGGTGCAGACTAGATGGTTTGTGGTTCTGAAGAAAGCACACAGTAGGTCCACAGCGGCACTGCTCACTGCAACCACAAAACCACAACTATCCAACTGCCCACCAGCTGGTGAGAGGCTAACACGGGGTGTGCACGCTGCCGAACGCTACTCAGCAATCAGAAGGAAGCCAGCCCCGCTACAGCATACAGCACGGACGGACCTCGGAAACATGACGTCAAGCGGAAGGAGCCAATCACAAAGGACTCCCAAACCCAATGCCCCCGATTCCGACTCAGCACCGTCCTACCAATGCTTTCCAAGACGATGTATCTTTGTGGCACAGACTGCCTCCTCTTTCTCCTGAGGAGCAGCTGGGGGGTGAACAGTTGACCTTCCGGGTAGCAGCTCAATGCCTTACCCACAGTGCCACCCTGATGTACTGAACTGTTGGTACTGTATTACATTTCCAGAATAGGCAAGCTGTGGGGATGGAGGGCAGATCCGCAGCCGCCCAGAGATGGGGCGCGAAGTGCCTGTTAGTGGGTGCAGGGTAATACAAATGTGCTAAAACGGGTGGTGGCTCAGCTCTGTGGACTCACTGAAAGGCACGTCAATCTACCTGGTGAAACACTAGAAAAAGGAACGTCCGATTTGTGTTGCCCCCGGTCGGCAAGAGAGCGACATTGCCTGACCAAAGCCCACGGGAATCCCCCGCCCAGACCCTGGCTTGCTCAGATTTTGTCTCTGCTGAATGCCCTCCTTGAGATTATTTTGGTTTTCTGTGGAAAGCATCCTGGACAGCGGACACGGTCATCTGGTCAAGAGGTGGGCACACTGATCAGAACATGAAGTGTTGGATTTGTTCGTTATTGTCTTGTGAAGTGGGATGATATTAATACGTTTTTGAGAGCACCCCCCTGTCTAATCCAATCAGTCTCTCTCTCTCTCTCTCTGACACCCTCAATACGATGCCAGCTGCTGATGGGGTATTAAGAGCGACTTCCGGCCCGTGAACTCCTGAGCTGCCAGTCAAGGGCTGTGACAGAACAGCTTCTCCGAGTCGGTGCTTACTCACCTTTCAGCGCTACATACTAGCCATGTGGCCTTGAGCGAGGAAGTTAAGCTGCTTAAGCTTTTTCTTGCAAAATGGGGACAACAGTACAACCTGACCTCTGGGATATGCTCAATCAATGAAACACGAGGGTAAGTCACAAAGTACTGTGATGGGCTTCAGTTCATCCACGTGCTGTTTACTCCAAACCAGCGTGGTCACATACGTATCAGCAATCAGTGGGTGGATGCACACAGGGTCTCTCGGTAATACACCTGTCTGGGTTTTGTTGGCAGGCCTTTGAAAAACAAAAGCTACAACCAAAACAGTGGTTTCTGAGAGAATCTACTGGGCCAGTTCAATTCAAGAGCGGTCTGCCCAGAAGGCTATAGCGACTGCTTTTTGGGGTTCCCAAGGGGTTATCTTGATCGTTTCTTGTAGGACACAAGATAGTCATGGGGGCATATTGGGAAGATGTTTAGAGAAAATTAAAAGCTGCACTGGTGAGGAAAATTCTACGGGATTTTTTTCCCATCAGGACAATGCACGTGGTCATTCCTCAATGGTGGCAAGGGCTGAGCTAGGAGGATTTTGTTGGAAAACTTCACCCCATCCACCCAAATCCCTGTTCTTGCTCCTTCCGCTCCTTTTTGTTCCCAAAGCCTCACAGGACATTCAACAGGAAGACAACTGAGGACGCAAAGACTGCTGTTTTGACCTTGTTCTGAATCCAAGAGCACAGACTTCTTCAGGGAAGGGTTAGAGCGATGGAAACGCGGCCTTCAGCAGTGGACAGAGCCCTAAGCCTTGCTGTCACGTGGGGTGCATTGGAAAGTGGATTCATGCAGATGCAATTATGTTAAAAATGTAACACTTGGTCATCTGATCTCCTCTTTGATCCCTTTTAAATTTGTTCTAGTTGTTAATATTTTCTGCTTCCCTTTCGACTGAGGTTTTAAACTATTTTACTCTTTTGTTCTTGTTAGTTTTTGTTAAATGCTTTTCTGTATATGAAATCCAGGATAGGTAAATCTAGAGAGAGCGCAACTGTATTACTGGTCACGCGGGGGTGTGGCAGGGAGGGTTGGGGGAAATGGGGAGCTCATAACATTGAGTGCAAGAACAAAAAAAATCTTCTAAAACTGATTGTGGTGCTGTTTGTACAACTCTTTCTGGTGTGATTGAACTATTGAGTTGTATGACTGACCTATTGAATTGTATTTGTGAATTATATGCCAATAAAACTGTTTGGGGAACCCAGAACAAAAAAATCATATCAATGTGAATGAGGGGGAGTGCGGGGTGGAGATACAAAGCCCATCTGTAGACAATTGGACATCCCCTCACAGAAGAGTCACAACGAAGAGACGAGCCAGTCAGGGTGCAGTACAGCACTGATGAAACGTACAACTTTCCTCTAGTTCTTTAATGCTTCCTCCCCCACCCCACATGATCCTAATTCTACCTACCAAATTCTACCTTACCTTACAAATCCGGCTAGACCAGAGCATGTACATGGGTACAGATAAGACCTGGAAACACAGGAAATCCAGGACAGCTAACCCCCTCCGGTCCAAAAATGAGAGTAGCAATACCAAGAGGGTAAGGGTAGGGTGGGGGGAGAAAGGTGAGACTGATCACAATGATCTACATATAACCCCCTCCCAGGGAAACAGACAACAGAAACGTAGATGAAGGGAGACATTGGACAGTGCAAGACATGAAATCATAATTTATAAATTATCAAGGTCTTGTGAGGGGGGAGGGGGAGGGAGGGGGAGGGAGAGAAAAAAGAAGAGCTGATACCAAGGGCTCAAGTAGAAAGAACATGTTTGAAAATTTGATGGCCACAAATGTACAAATGGGCTTGACACAATGGATGGATGGATGGATTGTAATAAGAGCTGTATGAGCCCCCAGTAAAATGATTTTTCCAAAAAGACTGGGGGCAAAAGAAGTGCAGAGATCTAGTGGGAGGGCATGTTGAGAAACAACAGCTTCACATTTTGATATTTTTGTTTAATGAAGGTTTCTGTGCAGACATGGACAAAGACGGTGAACTGGCCGATTCCAGTGGGCCACGCAAAATCGTTTCTGCTCACCGGCCTCAGGCCTCAAGACACTGAGCTGTGGGCATGCCGTAGCATCTGAGACCCAATTTAAGACTTCTATCCCCAGTGCACGCTGCTGCTAGGGAACCTTGGCATCAGCACCTACTCAACACAATCTGGAGTCTTTCTCCAGAAGAAAAAGACCCCGTCCAAGTTATCTAGCCTCTGTAACAAAGGATCTCGAGATGCTTAGGATGCTTTTGTTTGCATCTTCCTCTAAAGTTCCCTAAAATAATTTCCTACTCTCTGTCCCATCCAACGACACATGGCACTGGCTCACTCTGATGTCACCAGAAGTCACCAGACTTCTTTAAAGGGTTGAAGGGAGGTTGCTACTTTGAGGACTTTGGGGTGCTTGACCCAAGCCAGAGTCTTTAATAGTCTCACAGGTATACACACATTGGACATTGGAGGGAAGGAGGGGAAAAAATGAGGAGCTGAGATACCAAGGGCTCCAGTAGAAAGAAAATGCTTTGAAAATGATAATGGCAGCATATGTACAAATGTGCTTAGCACAATGGATGGATGGATGAAAGGATGGATTGTGATAAGAGCTGTATGAGCCCCCAATAAAGTGATTTTTTTAAAAAGCTGGACATTGAGTAAGGAAGACCTTATTGACATTGAATAAGGAAGATGAATCGAGATGCTTGCATTATGGTGCTGGTGAAGAATATTTAAAGTGCCATGGACTGCCGAAGAGCAAACAGATGTCTTGGAATAAGTACAGACAGAATGCTCCTTTGAGGCAAGGACAGGGAGACTTCGTCTCATGTACTCTGGACATGGTGTCAGGGAAAACCGGTCTCTGGAGAAGGACATCACAATTGGTGAAGCAGAGGGGCAGCGGAAGAGACCAGAGGGACTGACTCAGTAGCTGCAACTGTGGGCTCAAACACAGGGACCGTTGTGAGGATGGGACAGGATGGGCCGTACTTCCTTCTGCTGTGTGTAAGGGCGCTGTGGGTCGGCACGGATTCAATGCCACCTAACCACCACAACAGTGCATGCCCCACAGAACACTTGCTTTCACAGAATGCTAGGGGTGGTTTCTTGGGGGGGTAGTGGTGCAGGGAAGCAATTCAGTAGTCAGAGCTGGCTGAGTGGTTCCACGGGTTTCTGTGGGCTTCATTCGACACTGCGTCTCCAAGAAGATGATGTAGTATAGTTTCCTCCACTTGTCTTTTTATCAAACAACCACTTTTCCCCGGGATAGTTTGCAGGACTTACTGGCCCCAGAAAGGCCATTTAGGAAAGTCTAGCTCTAAGAATGGGGATCCGTGCAGCCACAACAAGTTCTCTAACCTTCCCAAGCCTTGCTTCTGCCACTCATAAAACGCAAACAAGGGCGTGAACTTACAGGGTTATAAATCATGCCGAGATTTGAGTCTGACATGAGATGATGTATGTAATAAAGTTGGTCTTCTTTAAAGGAAAAAAGTTCAATGAGTCTCGAACCCTTCCTTGGTGGTAAAAACTTTTGGAAGTAACAGCTAGAGAAAAAAATTATTCTGTGACGTCTGGAATTATCTGTCAGAAACAAACAAATCCCCCCCTCCCACTTTTTAACCCTTTCAAAGAACCCGGTACAGAGTCCCTTACCTCTGAGAGCCAGGGAACAGGCTGGTTCCACTTCAAGTAGCTGCTGTTACTGCTCCTTCCTCGGTCAGCTTCCTGGTCCTAGAGGAAGAATGCAGAAGTGAAGGAGGGCATGAAGGGAACTGGGGACGAGCACAGGGTTCAGCACCTGTCCTGGGGGAAGAGTCAGGAGGCACTAGGTGCCTGAGTATACTTCCTGAAGACTTTTATCAATGTGCATATCTGAGGCTCTGAAACGTTCCTGAATTCCCCGCATCTTTCCCATGTGAAGAAAAGAAACATCTTTTCTAATTAGAGTAGGACCCCCTCCCCTTACCCATGCAGACTCACAGGCCAGTTTGGTTCTGGTCCCACCACATATATTGTTCTATGCCCAGAGGTCTCCTAAGGGTTCCACACTACACTGGACCCCAATTCCCCTAAATTCTACCAAGAGCTGGTCCTTTCTCTCTGGGGACCACTGGCCCCAGAAATACTCCAGGGAGAATACTCCATTACAAATCTCTACAAATCTCTGCTATGAGTAGAGAGGAGAGTCAGCCTGCCTCATCATCGCTGACTCTTAGCAGCGATGGATCTGACATCACCACCTATGGGCCCAGGCCTCACACCAGCAAGAGGTAGGACATGCTGGCTCAGTCTCCAGCCTTCGGCTGCTGTCTGCGACGGCGGCCACATACCCGGAGAAGGTCGAGCTGGGCATCTTCAACACCAAGACAAAGGCAGAAAGAAGACAGCAGTCCGAGTGTTTTGAGGAGAGCCCAGTAGACCCCTCTGCTCCCTCAGTTAGAAACCCCACGCTACCAGACGAGGGTTTCAGGGGCTGGTTCCTCTTCCTCTTCTGCTCATCGAAAAGTGGAGGTTTCCTCAAAGGCCGTGGGACCTGTGTTAACGTGCTGACCACATACCTTGAGGCTCAGCTTCTGCGAGCGGTAGAACTGGAGATGGGGGTCCACGGCTGGGATGTTTCTATTGGATAGCGCTTTGGCCAGTTCTCTCCAGCTGCTATACCCTAGGGAAAGGACCGGAGGATGGAGAGTCACTGTAACCTGAAGAGCTCATTACCTGTCAGCAGAGCACCTTGGTTCTGCCATCCGTGCTCAGAGAGGGGTGAAAACGTGGGGGCAGTTACCAACTGGGCCAAGGTCATTTGGGCAGGAAGAGAACATGGGTGCAGCACATCCTACTAAAAGTTGTCGCCTCCCCTATGTCAGCGGAGGAGCCCTGGTGGGGCTCCAGGAAGCACGTGACTGCTCACAGAAAGGGCGGGGATTCAGAGCCAGAAAGCCCCTTCATGGGAGACCAGGTCTGGCAGTCTGTTTCTAGTTTAGGAACTGAAATAGGGCCCCTTCTACTGTCACATGCAGTCGTTCACTGTGAGGGAGATCAACTCAACAGCACACCCAGAGCCAGGGCAAACGGACCCTTCTTCTCCTTTGTTGACGATCTGCTCCCCCCACTCCCTTGCCCCGCCAGAGGCCAATTTCTCCCAAAGGCAGCAGAGGAGAAACAGATGTGAAATGCATGTGTCAAGTCCATTCATAAACCACCGAAGAGGAAAGACTGGAGGCCCGGCTATTCCTGGACTGATCTCGAGGCTGTGTTTGACTGATGATGTCTGCACCCTGAAGGCTCCGCTTCACACATCAGGGAAGGAAAAAAGCCAAATCTCACTCCGGTGAGTGTAGAGAGAGCACAGGAGAGGCTTGGGGTGCACCCGGACAGTGGCCAATCTCTCCACTCACTAGAGCTCAGTGCCCTGCCAAAGAGGATGCCTGGCCAAGTCAACTGAGGGTGGCCATGAAATGGAATCACAGACTGGCGGGAGCTTTCAGGATGACTTAGTCCTAAAAGAACAAACCCCCCGACAGAGGGGCCACAGGGAAGGGGTGAGTCAACCAGGGTGCAGTAAAGATGAAACACACAATATTCCTCTGGTTCCCTGAGGCTTCCTCACCCCCAACTCTCATAACCCCAGTGGTGCCTCTCAACTCAGACCAGACTGGAGCATGTACACAGGTATAGATAAAGGGATGGGGGTTCATGACACACAGAGTATCTAGTAGTGGTAATAGTGAGACCAAAAGGGTAGGAGGAAGTAGGGGAGGGAAAGGAGGAACCAATCGCAATGATCGACACATAACCATACACCCCTCTCCAGGGGGGGAGAACCACAGAAAACATGGGGGAAGGAAGACAGTGGCCGGTGTGAGATAGGAAAATAATAACAATTTGTAATTTATCAAGGGGTTATGGGGGCGGGGTAGAGGGGGCAAAAAGAGAAGCTTATATCAAGCGCTCAATAGAAAGTAACTGTCTAGAAAACAATGAAGGCAACATATGTACAAACTCACCTGATGCAATCGATGTGTGGATTGTAACAGAGCTGTAAGAGTCCCTAATAAAATGATCTCTTAATTAAAAAATAAAAAAAAAGAAGAAGATGACCAAGTCCTTAGGTTACAAACGAGGGAAATGGGAGCAGCCCATTAAAGCACTTATTTAGGGTCACCTCGACACACAGCGAGAAAGCTAACCCTAGGACCCGAGTGCTCAGACACATCTCCATGGGGCTATACTACTTATTCTTCATCTACTTCAGCAAGAAGCCTCCACAAGTGCCTGCTTTACTGACACAATCACTGAAGACAAACGGGTGCATAAGCAAATGTGGTGAAGAGAGCTAATGGTGCCCGGTTATCAGAAGATACAGCGTCTGGGGTCTTAAAGGCTTGAAGATAAAAGAGTGGCCA